TATATATGTACCACTGGCTTCACCAAATGCTTTGGGAAATTTATAAATGACGTCGTTTTGACCGAAATAACACTTGTGCCTTGTTTGGTAATTTGCTGGATACAGATTAAGTGATATTATTGGAAATAGATTCCATGGATGTGCATGTTCGTTATCCAGAATTAAGCTTCAATTCTTAGCAAGCCTAACAAAAACAACAAGCTTTATCTCATTAATTGAGGGAGGCTACTTGGATTGCAATATGCTGTCATGCTCTATCAATTCAATTAACTCTTCAGATAAATCATTCCCCAAAAGGTCTCTAAGAAAGTTTAATTCCATCAAAAGATCGATGGCCTAATTAAATCAAGTTACATCCTTTGGGCATAGAACCACTTAATTAGACTTCCATGTAAGAACATAATGTTGACCTATTGCATGTATTTAATACATGATTTGTCTATTTTTGCTAGTAATATTTGAAAATGGTTCTATCATGGCATAGACTTCTGATATCAATTTTTGCTTTGAGGTTTGATCAGTTCCAGTTGCTTAGTTGTTTGCCCCATTTTTTTTTCTTCTAATTTTTGATTTATCGGTTCATGGTTTGTAATTTATGCAATTGTGTTGATTGGGTGCTCTTTATGTGAAAATGGTGGATGACAATAGATTTTTCTGGTGTTGAAGAGATATGGCTTTTAAAATAGGGTAAATGTGTAATTTTACTTCTAAAGTATTTTTAAGGAGCACACCTAGCACCCTAATATTTTTGTTGGAAAAATTTTACAGTTAAAGTTATTAAAATAGAGCATTTTTGCTCTTTTTGTTAAATTTTTTAACAGTCAACATTTGAAATCAACATCAAAAATTTAACGGAAAGAATAAAAATATTTCGTTTTAATAACTTTAAAGGTATAATTGCTATAATAAAAAATAATTTAAGGGCAAAAATTTACCTTTATCCTTTAACATAAGGGTATTTTTCATCTTTTTATATTAAAAATACACATATCAAGTATTTCATGGGCATACCAAGGACTTCCATTTCTGTTTACTATTAATTACTTCCTATTCTTTTTGTTTCTTTTTTAATACAGAAGACATGGTACCGTGCAAAATTAAAAGCAGTTTATGTTAATCAGATTGACTAATAACAAGTTTCTACATCTTAGGATAGATCATCACATAAATAGTAGTATCAAAATTGAGACAAACAATAATTTGATTGAAATAAATTTATTTGAGCCTAAATTAAAAGATTTTGGTAATTAAATTCCCATGCAATCTTAATTCAAAATTAGATCGCTTTAATCACACATCTAGCTTGCGCTTTAACTTGGTAATATATCCATGGAATTTGATGTTATTGGATGCCGCAATTGATAATGGCTTCATCAACTGTGAAAACAAAAATGTTACGTGATTTTTTTTGGCATTTGGTGTTGGTGTAAAAAAAAAATTGACATTTCATTTGACTAAATTTCACCTCATATAAACGAAAAAAATGTCATAAATCATTGACATGTTTGGGTTATCAAGTGATTACCTTTTGGTAGCTTTTGCTAATGGCGGCTGAATAATTGCGTGTTTCTATTTTTAAAAAAACTGACAAAATAAGGAATCACGTTAATTAATTCATAGCCATTCTCAGTTGTTTTCTTTTTATGGTCCAAAACTGATGGCTTACTTCCACTGGACACACTTGTCATTAATGGAAAGTACTCAGAGTCAATGGCCATTTCGCCACTTTTCCCTGGACAGCAAGCCCAAAAGGTACAAGCGCCCCTGGGTTTCTTTTGCTTACGTGTCACTTCCTCATACGTCACAGTTTTGTCCCCGCGATTCCTGGACTAGGAAACCCTCCGAGGGGTCAGATTTCCCGACTTGCACTTATTCACTTTCCTCCACGCCCTTCTCCCTGAGCGACACGTGTCCTCGCAATCTTCTCTGATTCCATTATAATGGTCTGTACCCCATGGAGCTCTGTCTTCTATAATCTGTACACAAACCGATGATGGAGCGCGTGGATTAGACCGAGACCGAGACAACCTTAAAATCCAGTAGTGGTTTTGGTTGTGCACAAAACCGCTTTTAGGTTTTGCCAGAAGAAGAGGGTAATAGTTGTGACCTTTGCACTTAAATCCCTTTAACTTTCCATATAAAGTATAGAAAATAGAAATTGCACTACCAGGTTGGGTCTTCACGGACTATTTCTTCTTCATCCTCTTCTTCAATCTTCAGCCTCTCTCTTTCTCTCTCCCTCTCTCTCTATCTCTTCTTGACTGAACAGTACATTATCAGTTTCAGTAAGTTGGTCATCTTCATCCATCTATCAGATTTTGACTATTATCTGTCACTATTTTGGTCTCTGACTGTGTTGGAAATAAGTATGAATCACGGATCGGCGTTGTATTTTGCGATGAGTATATGATATTTGGGGGAATTGATGTGGGTGGCAGGTGAGAGAAAAACCCTAGGTGGTAGATCTATCATGGGAAGAGGGAAGATTGCGATTAGAAGGATCGAGAATTCAACGAGCAGACAAGTGACTTTCTCTAAGAGACGAAATGGATTGCTGAAGAAAGCCAGAGAACTATCAGTTCTTTGCGATGCAGAAGTTGGATTGATTGTCTTCTCCAGCACTGGCAAGCTTTATGACTTTGCAAGCACCAGGTACTTCAATTATCTCTGCTTCTCCTTCTCCTTCTCCTTCTCCTTCTTCTTTAATTTCTATCAGATAAATTCAATCTCCAGATTCTCTCTCTGTAATATTTTCTTTTGATCGATCTATATATTCTCTCACTTTTTCTTTTTTCTTTTTTCTTTTTGCCTGGTTTTGCCCAATTATTAATTATATATTTGTACACATCTTTTTCTCTTTCCGCCAAATATGTAGAGACTGATATTGCCATTCCAGTATGCTTCGTGGTAGGTGCTAATTAACATGTTTATATATTCCCACTTGCATTTTAGTGTATATCTGTGCATGTGTGTGTGTGTGAGATTCTCTCTCTCTGTTGCTTAAGTCTTGAATGAAAGTCCATGCATGCATATATATATATATATATATAAACTGTGTATGCATGCTGTTCTTTTTCTTCATTTCTCTGTGCGTCTGCAACGATAAACATCTAGGTGCAATGAAATGTATAATAGAAAAGCTAATTATGATTAATCAATATGTGTGTGCGCCAGCGTCTAAAATCAAGAACACACACACACACCCCCCACCCTGTCCTCGCCTCCTTCTTCCTTTTATTTATATGTGTGTCAACAATAGAGACATTAATTTTTTTTAATAACAACTTCGACTTATGAACATTTAGAATCCAAAATCCATGATAAACTAATTTAGGGTTACAAATATGTGCGTAGTTACTGAGCTTCTCATCAGTTATTTATATTTCAATATATTGATCATTCATCAGCTTCAAAAAGTAATATGTTTAAATTTACCATGTCGAAAGCTATATATATATGTGTGGTTGAACTGAACTAACCACGCATGCGTATTAAAAAATATTAAGGAGTCTTAGATTAAAGTTTCAGCACGAGTATCTAGAGATACCTTTTGCTTCCTCTCATATTCTTATGGCCATTGTACTGGAAACAAAAACCTTAATTAACTACTTCTATAAAACCAATATACTCCCTCTAGACCCTTACATATATAATGAGCCTTCCAAAAAAAGAAAAAAGGTTGTATAAATTATAAAGTATGTCTAGTAATTATATGATCAAATAATGGGCAATGCTTCTTTTTTTTTCCCCAAATAATAAGAGTATAACCGTAATATTGTCATATTTTTGAACAAATAAAACAAGCTAATTAATGAACTTCAAAAGCACATCAGTGTCATAAAGCTAATTAATACCTTAATATAGTTATACTTTCCAATTTTAGGCAAGACTTATGTACTTAGTCATATATACTTAATATATTTTTATATAATCAAATTAAGACATTTGAATTTTAGTGTGTTAATAATATTAATAACAAGAACTTGTTATAAAATAAATAATCTATAAAAGATATGTATGTCTTGATTTAATTAAAAACAAGTGTATTAAATATATAAGACTAAAGAAAAAACTTATATACTTAGCCTTAAATATTTAACAAGATCTTGTCATTAATATCATTAACACATTAAAATTTTATTATTTTGATTTGATTAAGTAAAAGTCTATTAAGTATATAAGGCTGAGTACCTAAATCTTTCCCTAAGGCCAAGTATATAAGTTTTTCCCTTTAGTTTTTATGTGTAATTATTGGTTGTGATTAATATTATAGGTGGGCGTGTATACCTATACTATTGATTTTGTGAAGGTTGCACCAAAAAAGTTACATTCCATTGAATAGATCTACTGGTAGAAATCAAGATATACAAGGGATCAATTATTTTTCTCAATCTTATCTTATAATGTACTATAAAAGGGCCTATCACTACAAAATAACATGTTTTAATGTAACAACAATTAATTACAATAAACTATTATTGGTAAGTTTTAATAGCAGTGTTGTACTGATGCCATTGGCCTGTAAAACATCATTATAATGGCAATTATTACAACCAAATTGCTATTAGAACACATAAAATTAAAACTACAATGATGGTTAAGCGCTTAATTGCCTTTGCCTTCATATAGTATGTTGGCTATAGTGGCAGTTGACTGCCTATAAGTTGACAATAGTTTTGAAGAGTCACCTCTAGTAATGAGCATTGAAATTAAAATCAATCTAGATGGTCCATATTCTGTGCTCATCATTAAGGTCCTGTTTGGTTATTAGAGAGTAATGGAATGGAATGAATTGAAAAAATAAAGGTAAAAATAAAATAATTAAAGGAGATAAGTGATCAAACTCATAAATGGAGAATAATTTAGTTTATAGGATTTGGAATCATGATTTATAAAATTTTTAAAGAGTGATAATTTTTATATTTATAGTATATATTAATAATTTTTATCATGCTTTTCATAAGAAAAGTGCAATTTAATTTATTTTTATCTTTATTTTTTCAATCCATTCCATTCATTCTATTCTAGTAACCAAACATGACCTAAATGATAAGCATCGAAACCGATTCCTTAAGGAAAAGTCTATGGTAAAACGTGGGTCTAATGAGTGCCTTTAATAGGACAATCATCGAAATGACAGAAAGGGGAAACATATTTGTGTGATTGTTAGGATATCAAGTGTGACTGAGAACAGAATACAATGTGCATGGTGAAAGTGACTACAATGATGCTTTAGATTAGCTAGAATAGAGAGTAGAAAGGATGAGAAAAAAACTTTAATATACAACAATGTTTTATGAGAAAATGACAATGCGCGCGCACACAAAATGTTATTATTCTATTTATTTCGGAGGGAAAAAAAGTAATGGCACTCACTTCACACACACACACACACACAATATTATCATGACCAAAATAAAAAACCAGATGTTATGGCTCACCTGACACGGACACACGCGCACACACACAATTTGAATAGACCTTGAATTTAATTTCAAAAATAATTTTATATACTTTATTGACATCTATTTAGTGTCTGTTACTACTGAATAATTCAAATTAATTCAAATATTATAGATTGACCGAATTATGGAGGATAACTCTTCCAACAATATGATCATTCTGAGTTTTGGCCTTCTAAAAATTAGAAGTATCATATTTCAACTGTTGATATTTTTATTTTCTTGTGTATTAATCAAGTGACGCAAAAAAAAAAAAACACGTCGAACTTAATGATCAAAAGAGAAAATATGTCAAAGCATAAGTATGTTGTTTTTTAATCTCCTAATAAAATTAGGAAAAGAAAAACATTCACAACCTGTGTGATTATATATACGTGGACTTTCATAACACTGTAAATTTATATTGACATTTCCGATATTCAGGGACGTGTGTTTAATTTCCACTATTGACTGGATACTGATTCAGTATAATAAATTAGTTTTGTCCACTTAGGGCCTATAGATGGGATCAGATCATAATCTGATGCTCATAGGTTGCTGAAAAGCTCCAAAAAGTTAGAAGACTTGAGAACATGCATGTGCAGTGAATATTTTCAAATGACAAAGTATTTGACAAAGTCAGGTAAATCAGCTTGTGTACGTAGTTTTGTGCACAAAAGGAGATCTCAAGGGGGTGTGTGTGTGTGTGTGTGTATTCACAAACAAAATGAAGCACAGACTAGCTTAGAATCATAACTTTAACTTAAAAGAATTTGTTCCAGCTGAGAAGATTAATATACAAAACATTTTGATCATCATGACTCATGAAGCATTTCATTTTGCAAAGCATGAGAAGGCGAGAAACAAGCATGAATAAACAGTGGACATGGGTATGTGAACAAAGCACAAATTAAACCTGTTGAGGATGAGGTTTTGCAAAAAGTGAGGATGGTGGGTCATAGGATTTGTGAATCCTGTGAAGTTCCATGCACAAATTCCTTCTCTCTCTGGTTTTTTTTTTTTCGTTTTTTTGCCCAGTTGCAGATGATGCATTGATGCTCATGAATGCAAGGGAGGAGTAATTTAATGTACAGTAAAATTTGTTGAGATTGTATTCTGAAGCTTCTTGTCAACATTCTAACTTGGAGAACACATCCTTTGAGCCAGGGCAAAAGTGATACAATGTTCGGTAGGTAGAAAAGTATTTTCTATAAAGGAAATGAGAAATGCACCTATTCAGTTTTCTATCTAGGTACATTTCTATTTCCTTTCTAAATATTCTAATATTGCCTGAGGGAAGAAACTCTAGGAATCAATGACACAATATTCTAATAGGTACCTTGGAACACTAGTACCATGTGAAAATTCCAAAAATGAAGCCATAACACATGAAACAGACAGAATTGGAAACAGGCTCATGAAAGGATAAAAGTAGGAATTCCTCTCAGAGATAATTAGTAGAGAGATATTAGTGGATCCTGTGTCTTGATTTCCTTGACGATAAAAAGGATCAGAAGGCTTCATGTAGGTGGTCAAGTTTGCTGAAAATAGTGATGGATATATTTAGGAGGATCCAGTAGTGATCATCAGTTTGATTTTATTGATTAACGTTGGTCTTGTATATAATTAAGAATCAACCAACCCTACCCTAGTGTATGGTGCTGAAGATTGTATAAAATTCATACACCATGTATGATATCACCCAACTAGAAGGATAAGGCTTATTGTTGTTGTTGTATGATATCAATATGCTTCACTAATGTAGAATTGGCATATGAAAGTTGATGTAAATCTCATTAACCATGAGCTTACACTTGTGCAAGCAGCATGAAATCTGTTATTGAGCGATACAGCAAGCTTAAAGAGGAACACCTGATGCTTATGAATCCTGCTTCAGAGGTCAAGGTAACGCCATTCATGCACCACTATTATGTATGTATATATATCATCTAGCTTACCTGCAAATTAATATGTAGCCACTTCATCATATTTCATAGTTTCATAAATTAGCCTTTATAGTTTTCAGCAACATTTATATTCTCTTTCATGACAATGCATAACATACTGACATTGTAAAACCCTATTTTTCCAAGATGCAATTCTGGGTGCATTTTAAACTAAAATGCAAGTAACTAGCCCCGAAGAAATAGAAAATTAAAGAAGTGGCCGATTCTCATTCAAGAATTACTATCCAATTACATTGTTGATTACGAATAATTGGTTGCATGAATAATATTGTGTAATATGCTGGCACTAGGCAGTAGCATGCATGACTGTGTTATCATCACCTTAGAGAACAAAAGGGAAAGAAAATTAGTAGAATTAGGAGATAAAGCTGAAAAGAAGGCCGTTATAATAGGATCAACAGGTTAAGAGGCTCTTGCGTTCACAATAGCCATTGAAGAACCACACATAAACCTGTTAACTGTTTATCCGATTTTGCTTTAATCATGAAGGCGAACTAAATAGAAGATGATAATGCTAAGAAGTGCTTTGTTTCTCCTTGAGAGGTTGGTGTAAGTTGCTACTTGGTGATAGAAGAAGTCCTCCCTCTGGTCCAAAATATAAGATCTCAATCTATTTTTTCTCTCAAATTTTTGATTTTTGATTTTTTTTTTGCTCAATCTATCCCTATTTATTGTACAAGGGAGCTTCATCAATTGTAGTTTACAAATAGCTAACTTTCCGTAAATTAGTTATCTAACTCCAATATTTAGGATTAGTGGGAGTACGTTTTTTCAACTAAATCATTTAGATAACGCCAAGAACATGAATGTCTAGGGATCTCATGGAGGTTGAATTTTGGGGTAACATGTTGGCTACTATGGAAAAGAAGGCATAGTAGACATTTTAGTGAAGATGAGCCACCTGAATGGAGCAGATGTGCCATAGATTTCTTCCGGAGTATAGTTAAACCTGAGGAATCTGGAGGGCAATTGTGAGGGGAAAGGACACCAGGGTTATGCAGGATTCATGACCGTTCTGGAACTTGGATTAGTGGGTTGTGCAGAAGAAAGCAACTCATTGCCCAACAAATTTCAAGGGAAAAAGCTTGCTGATAGATTTTTTTGTTTTGTTTAGGGGGTGCAAGTGAATAGGGGAGGTCGAGTGATTCTTCTGTTTCGTAGATTACTTTTGTTTTTATTTTAGGCAAAATGAAAAAAAAAAAAAAAAAAACTGAGGTTGGTCATCTATCCTTCCAAACCAACACCTCAGATTGAGGGGAAGCAAAAGTTCATTGTTCACTATAAAGGGAACATATCAATTACATTAAGCTTCAGAGTGAAACATACTAACATGCTTATTTGTTGATTCATTACAACATCTACTACATCTACAGAGGAAATGCAATTATCTTTCCATCCTTTAGCTATTTGCTGTTTTACATCTTAACGCCTATATTTAAATTTTTAGATAACAGTCATTACTTATATCGAAATTTGAATTTGTATCTGTGTTTGTAACATTTATATTTTTTCTATTATATATATAACACGTCTTTATTATTTTAGCAACCTTGATGAATTTAACAAGCCAACTCCCAGGAGATTAATCAACAAAGAGATTAGAGAGTTTGCACACTTTGTAGGCGTGATCAATGAAGAATATCGACTGAACTGTTTTATTCAGCAAGATAAATAAAATTTATACAGCTAGGCGGCCACATCTACAATGTGAAGGCAGCAAGCCTGCCTTCTCTAGCTTCAAAACTATGGTAGATCTTATCATTCAATTCAGATATCCCCTAAACAAGTTCTGCCCTATAATATTATAAATAAAAACATCAGGGAAAAAAAAAAGAATACATAATAAATCAGAAATACACTGTAAAAAAGAAGTCAAAAGGTGCTAAAAATAAGAGAGCCCTAATGGGCTTTGTTGTGCTACAGGCCCATGAAAAGAAGAGCCAGTAAAACCTTCAACCCTTTCAAGTTGGGCTACAGATGCTAATCATGCCTACCTTGCTGTTTAATCTTGAAATTGTTTAGTTGGAAGGGCTTTGGTCAAGACATAAGCCACTTGCTTATCCGTGCGTGTCACCTTCAAAAATCCAGCGCCAACCTTTTCTTTAATGGAGTGACAATCAATTTTGTGTGCTTAGTTCGCTCATGGTGGGCGAGAATTTTAACCAACCCAACGGCTTCCATATTGTCACACATCACTTTCACAGGACCCTTAGGCCCTATTTGGTACACAACTTTAATTTAAAAAGACTGGGACTGGAATTGAGATTGGAATTAGGATTGAGATTGAGATTGAGATTGGAAATGAGGTTTTAAAATTATATTTGGTATGGAGTAATATTTATAAGGAATACTTACCTATATTTTATTTTACAATTAAATATAAATCATAAAAAGACTATAATACCCTTAAAATAATAAAAAGAAAAAGTTATAACCTAGCTAATGCATTACCCTCCTCCCTAAAGAGCACGACGGCGCGTCTGCAATTACTCCCCTTCTTCCACAGAGAGCACGCCCCCCAGAGCTCTCTCTGCCACACTCAATCTTCTTCTTCTTCTTGCTATTCCTTTTCTGGTTTTCATGTAGATCAATGGAGTCATAAAGATCTACTTACTAGTGACCAGAGGCGCAAATGGGTTTCTGGTTTTCGATGGATGAAGGCCACTTATTCATTGGTGATGTAGATCGACGAAGTGATGGAGATCGATAAAGTGATGGAGATTGACAAAGTGAGATGGGAACTGAGAGACGTCGTTCAATCACCATTATGTCTGTGTGTGGCTGCCGTTAGCGTTGTGCCTATGTGTGTTGCCATCGGCGTTGTGCTTATGTGTGGCTGCCGTCGATGCCCTCGTTATGGCTGTGAGGTAGGGTGGAGGTTAGAAGGTAGAGGGAGAGACGAGAGAGGGATGGGGTGGAGGGCATTTTGGCCAAAAAATAATCAATCCCAGGATTGATTTTCTAATACTAAGGGGGTGGGTGGTATTGAGTAATCCCACTTTAAAGGGATTAGGATTGGAATTAAATTTTCCATTACCCCATAGCAAACATGAAAAGGTGGGATTGCCTAATACCAATCCCAATCCCACCCTCCTAATGCTATGTACCAAACATAACCTTAAAGTCCAATTTCAGTTCCTTTAACAATATACATATCCACATACGTTCACAAACACACAGCAAGCATCTAGTAATGGAACGCCCATACACTGATCCAACCCAACCTACATTTGAATACACATATATTACTTCATGAGACTCTTATACGAGTACACTCCCAGAGCAGCCTTTAAGCATCCTGGGATTTTTTTAAGCTGACTTTCAATGTTCTACATTACGCTAGTGCATTAGTTGATTCACTATACTAACTGAGAATAAAATGTCTTGCCTTGTTTGACTGAGGTATATAAGTTTTCCAACTAGAGATTGGTACCTACTAATGCATATTTCTCTTGTGAGATTGAAATTCCATCCTTAGTTTTGATTCAAGGCCTTATGTGATCTAATGAAAGAAAGGAATTGATTTGAGCACTTAGGTGTGCAAAATTTTCAAAAAAATTGACTTTTTATATCTGAGTGTCCAAATTTTTATTGGACTATTAAATTGTGTCTAAACCTATCTTATTAACTAACTTATGAGATAAAATTCATGTAGCCACTTGAATCACTCTAATCAAACGTCATATATAAAAACGACGTACATCAAAAGTTCATCATTTTATTATTAAAATGACAGCAAAAATTTCAAACTAGCGCATGTCAGAGAATCAAGCATGTGGCTCTATGCCACATGCCGCAGCCCACATACTACACACCATAACACATGGCCCACTTTTCAACCTGATTTTGTAATTTTTAATGCATGCATTGAACGTTATGAATGCAACTTTTCGTCTTTCGCTATGCGATGTTCTGATATGATATAACTTTAATAATTTTGCAAAACAAGTCTTTGATCAAAGCTTTTCAAATAAATTCTTTTCAACCAACTTTTTGTCTTCTAGTAACTTTATTTTCTAGGAAGTATCTCAAACCCCTTAGATCCTTTACTTCAAATTATGAGGCTAACAGCTTCTTCAAGTTGTAAATTCCTTCTTTGTCATCACCCATGAATCTATGATTACAATGTTATCACTATAAACCATCAACAGAGTTTTCCATTTAATGCATGCTTCACAAAAGTGTCATCTATTTGACATTGATTAAAACCATTCCTTTCGATCATCATAGTAAATCTTTCAAATAAAGCATGTCGTGACTTTCAAACCATACAATGATCCTTTTAACCTACAAACCTTATTTGGAAGTTCCTTAGATTCAAATCCTTAAGGTATGTCCGTGTAAGCTTCCTCCTCCAATTTACCGTTTAAGGCGTGTCCATATAAACTTCCTCCTTCAATTTATCAATAAAGAGGCCAATCAAGGTTACAAGCAAGCAATATAAATACCCTAATGGTATTGAACTTAGTCACCGGAACAAAAGTCTCCTGATAATCAATGCCATATATTTAAGCAAACCTTTTGACAACCAGCCTGGCTTTATATTTGTCGATACTTCCATTTGGGATATACTCAATAGTGAGGATCCATTAACACCCAACTGTAGACCTACCCTTTGGCAGCTATACGATTTCCTAAGTATCATTCTTCTTTAAGGCATTCATCTCCTCATGAATAGCATCTTTCCATTCAAGAATTTGAAGTGCTTCATAGACATTCTTGGGCATCTGATCAAGAGTAACATTAGTAACAAATGTTCTCAATACAGTAGACAATCTATCATAGCAAATATATTTACTCATTGAATGTCTAGTACAAGATCTTTACCCCTTTCCTTAAAGCTATTGGGCGATGCTAAATCGTAATTTGGAATTGACGTCAGTGATTACCTTGAGCTGCTTCTGGACCTATACGTCCATCACTACTCTGCACCTGTCCTTCAATATGCTGCTGTTCATGCACATTCAGCCGCCGGACATTGTCTGGTTTGCCTGGAATGGGTCAGATTTCAGATCTGCCGGGTCAGTCTGGACTAGATTCAGGTCTAGTTTCAATGGTAGGATCACTTTTAGGTCTGGTTTCAGTGGTTGTAGGAGTAGGATTAGGTGCTGGAGTGATGTTTGTTTGCTGGTCAGATGTAATATCAAGGTTTATAGGATGGGTTAAGATAGGGTTACACGAAAACCAACATTCTCTTGTCTGTTAGTCTTGATTCTATGTTTGTGAGTTTAGTTGCCATCTGGAATCAAGCTTCACTTCCATGTTTTGAATAGCTCGAACAGAGGGGGAAAAAATGCATTGGCTTTTTTGCCCATTCCGTACCTTGTACATTTGAATCACATAAATACAAGTTTGGCGCTCAAAACTGAGGGACACAAGTCGACGGGCCTAGGAGGATATTAGTGCATAGATGACACAAAGTCGGGCCAGCCCATACCAATTCAGGGCATAAGTCTTAAATTCTGATGCACAGTTTTCGAAGTAAACTTCAACAAGTTCAGTTGAATGAGATGCTTCCGTATTTTCCATAACTATGCCGAACCAAGGCCTTGAATGCTGGATAATACTACTCTAATCTTATTTATAGGCAAAGAGAGAGAATATTTGTTTTAATTCCATTTGTAAGCACCAATGAGTAGTGTTCACCTTTACCCTTTTGCCTCTAATAAATGTTGAGAAGATTATTAAATGGCAAAGTATTTTATTTTTAAAGTGTGTATATTTAGTAAGGGAAAAATTGAAAACTTATTGATCTTTTAAACAGAGTTAATAAGATTTAAATTTTTGTTGATTTCAATAAAAATGCAGTAAGTAACTTATAAATAGGATCAAAGGGAGCATAAAACTTGCCTTTTTTTTTTTCTGTTTTTGTTTTTCAGGGGTTACATTGGCAATCTAAGCTTGAGAGAAGGATAAAAAAATGAAGGCAGAAACAGAATAACTAATCCTAGACTTATCATCCGGCAACATAGTCATTACAAAATTTAAACTCTAAATAAGAGAGAGCTCCCATCATCCATGATGAATTTGACCTAGATAAGTTCTCAATAGAATAGGACACACGTATGTGAAATGACATTAACCCTTGATTTAGAGGGGGAGAAAAACAGGGAGCAGGGAAAACTAAAAGGAAAAACTTCTAAAATAGTAAAAAATAATATATATTTTTGGAAAAATTTTCCTCTAATTTTCTCTCCTCATTTTCTTCCCACTTTAATCTCCATCCAAACCAAGCCAAAATGAAACTACACATTTACAGCATACACTATCTAATGAAAAATTTTAGACCTACATCACGCAAGTTCTTGGCGAAGTGTTGGAATCAAACCTTACTAGTTTGTAACTCTTTTCACTACCAGCAATTAATTAAACAAGGTTAATTTTTATATTATCTAATATGATTATTTGTATTTGCTAGCTTTGGCAGAGAGAAGTAGCAAGCTTGAGGCAACAACTACAGTACTTGCAAGATTATCACAGGTAAAAAGACTTGAACACCGAACTGTCACCTGACTGTAAAACCAAAAGTAAAAAAAAAAAAAAAGAAAAGAATGAAATTATCCATTTGGTAGGTAATGACAGTGATTTAGCAGCCCTAAAAGGTTGAACTGAACAACAAATAAAAAGAAAATATAGTAACATGAGAATAGGAAAAATACTCATTGTAGCATTCGATCAATGCCTTGAATTCCAAAAGGAAAAAAACTGGAGTAGGCACATCTAGCATTCCCAAATAACAAGAAAAGCAGAAGAGACCTCTTTAGATCAGCTGATGGCTGCCTTAAGTCTGCAATTATTTGCCTTTAATGCACCATAACTTAAAAAAAAAAAAAAAAATCTTACCTATTTTCCAAAAAAGCTATGCATCCATCTCAACATCCTCATCTCTATTATCCCAACTTTTTGTTCTTGTTCCTCCTCATCCATAACTGAACTAACTGCAAATGCAGCAGCTCCAGCACCTATGGAGCACAGAAACTTGAAAAAAGAACTACGTCCAATGTCCAACACATACCAGCCACTTGTAAAAGACACAAGACACAACTTGACACATCAAATTAAAGGGAGAATGGCATTTAAGTTCCCAAAAGATTCAATTAGTGACAGTTAGGCCCCTAACAAAATCTTTTGAAAAATGAGTAGTAACTTATTTTTCAAATTATTTTGTCAAGGACCTCGCTATCTTTCATTTGGTCCGTAGGGGCCTTACTGTCATTCTCCCAAAATTAAATGCAAATAATTCAATTATTCTGTTGCAGTGCCAGTGTCATGTCTCATGTCCATGCCATAATCTATGCTTCCAAGCCAAACACCATGCAGGCCAAATAACTGGAGGGCAAAAACCTAATCCATCCCCTATTGATGGGAGAATGACAGTTAGGTCCTAAAAGATTGTTTTAATGAGAGTGAGGTTCCCAACAAAGAAAATTTCAAAAAATGAGTTACAGATATCGATTCCAAGGATATACATTTTTTCTTCATCACTCAAAGAATGAGGTTCCAAAAGATGGCGCATGGCAAGAGATGCCACAGAATAAAGGGTCAGGATATAAGAAGACAACAACCAGGAAACGATCTAAAATAGCACCCAACAAAGATATCCTACCAATATAATACCAACACAACAAAATAATCCCAATCTCTTTCCTTTCCTACATGAAATTGTTCTCACCCATGATCAGAGTAACAGTGAATCTATTCAATATCATATTAACTAGTTTGAAAAATATAATATAAAAAATGATGCATAAAAGTTCTTATCTTTGAATATTATTTCATATTATGAGCACTATCAAGACCAAACTAACATTAAATTGCCCTGTATGTAAAATAATGCAATTTGACACTCGCTGCCCCATGAGAAAGCGTTAATTGCATTGTAAATCTCACCACTCAAAAATTTACCAATGGGTTAAAAAACTGTAAAGTGCAGAACTATAGCTCTTGAAACCAAAGAAAACCTCAGCAAACATGAGGAACTCACCTTTTTAAAAACAGGTTTGTAAGGGAGAAGAACCATGCGACTTAGTACTACAAAAATTGCTTATTATCCAATGTGGGACTCCATCATAGCACTGCCTGTAGGAGCTCAAATCCTTGAAGACTGCACACCAAGGTGTTCACTCCACCTGCTAGACCAGACCATTAGTAGGTAGCCTGTAGCCCTTTTTTGTAAAAGGTAGTCCAGCTATGATACCTATTGAAGGAGACTTGTGGAAGCCTGGAAAATCCACACTTTAGAAACTGGATTTGGATCCTTTCCATGCTTTCCCTCAATACATTTTGCCGTACTCAATATTATCCGTCCATTTTAATTATTTATTTGGTTTAATGGTGTAAGATTGCTAACTACGGTATTAAAATAAATATATTATTCATTTAATAATTACCATATAAAAAAACATTATAATTTTATTTTCAAAAGCATTTATTCATTATCATTACTAAAATGCTTTTAAAAATACGATAATAATGCTTCTCTATATAATAATTATTAAATAAATAATATATTTATCTCAACGCAACAATTAGCAATCTTATACTATTAAATCAAATAAATATTTAAATGGACATGTAATTGGGCATGGAGGGAGGTGTTGAGAGAGTGTATGGAGGGGATCTAAATCCTTAAAAACTGGGTTTAAAGGAAGACAAACTAAGCCACATAAATACAAAAGAATTATTTGCAGATCCAATGTGGAGCTCCAACAAAAACACAACTGCAAAAATAACAATAGAACTATGGATGAAAATTCTATAATGTTTAAGTCTTCAAACACCCCAAATTAAAATCCGGAAAGCTTTTGATACTTTTCTTAAATGCAGGCAACTGATGGGTGAAGAGCTTTCTGGTTTGGGAATTAAAGAACTACAAAATCTGGAAAACCAACTAGAGATGAGTTTGAAGGGTGTCCGAATGAGGAAGGTATGAGAGATCAATTCAAATCAAAATTTAAGCATGACCCTGACACGTACATTCATTTCCCTGCAGGATCAACTTTTAAATGACGAGATTAAAGAACTACACCAAAAGGTTTCTATTTTATAGGGTTTTGTATTGTTCCTTCAAAGTCCCAACTAAGGCGTCTCTGCAGGTTCTGACCAACTATTGATATTGCAGGGAAATCTCATTCATGAAGAAAATGTACAACTTCACAAAAAGATAGACATCATCCAGAAAGAAAATGCAGAACTGAGAAAGAAGGTATCTGATCAAAATCATATCAAATATAGTTATCAGAACTGTTATACATGTTTTTATAATATATAAGCACGTCTCGAGGAAATGCATGTATGATCACCAAGTATGCACTCACAAGAACTACATCGATCAGGTTTTACTAATGCATTAGGCCAGTGCTGTTTATTTAAAAGATAAAATTTTCATGTTTCCTTCAGAAGCCTAAATAGAAGTCTTAAATCATAGGCTTATGAAGCACAAAGCATGAATGAAGAAAATGGGACATCTGATCCGACATGCACTCTAAGCAACGGATATGACTTACACGCACCTATCAGCCTCCAGCTAAGCCAGCCGCAGTCTCAATACAATGAACAACCAACCAAAACAATGAAACTGGGGTACTCACTCAAACAGATAATATAGAATATGCACCTTGCATCCATCCTATTTCTCCTCGTATAATGGTATATACTAATCACCTATTTTCTGTAGCAGATTACACCAGCATAAGCCCAAGCCAGTTGACAACCAAGGATGGTTGTCTGACAACAAGCTGTCAACAACCAGGCCCTGACAAAAAAAGCAAAGTTCTGCTAGTCATAGTCCAAATCTTCAACAACTGGTATGAGATGTTCTATCATGAAGCATGGTAGTTACAATTAAGCTTCTGACATACCAGCTGCCTGTGTAAATTTCATGAAATAATGATATTATCAAATGTGGGTTCTGTTTCTTTCTTTCTTTCTTTCTTTTTTTTAGGAGGAGGGGGCAATAATGTGCCTTCTGTTACAATTTCTACATCTTTTGTGATAAATTGGATGGAATTCAGAACCGCAACCATTGTGTAAACCTTTAACAAGCTATTGCCACATGAAAGACGAGTATGCAGATAGTGGAATAAATGGGATTAAAATTTCATTACATTTCCTCTAATAGATCAGAAAATTCTTAGTATATTTTATAAGAAGAGTTTTGATCATAGCATATTGATCAGATCCCTCTAGCTGAGAATAAAATCTAGCCAAATCTTGACTCTTTTTAGATCTTCCTATAATAAAGCAGGATAAGAACAAAAGAATAATAACACAATATAAACAGTAAAACAATAAATAATAACTACATTAGTCACTACTTTCAATGCTCTCCCTCAAGGAGAGTAGATGTTAATCATTCAATCATTCCTTGCTTGGATCTAAATTCTTCAAACTTAACATGAGCAATAAGACATCAGATCAACAACTTGGGCACTAGTAGGAACAAACTTCAATTAAACCAGAGTCAGTCTTCTCCCAAATAAAATGGCGATCTATCTCCACATGCCTTGTCATATCATGATGTGCAAGATTTTTGGTTATTCTAATGGAAGCCATGTCACATATCACTATCATTGGCGGTTCCTCACCTAGTCTTAATTCCTTGAGAAGTCTCATCAACCATATCCCACCTTATATGCTAAGAGCTAACCCTCACAAGTCTACATCAACAATGCATCTATCTACATGTTTTTTCTTTTTTGTTTGCTTCACCATGGCACTAGATTTCCCCACACAAATTTCAAGTACCAGGTAGTGGATCTCCTATTAGTAATGAATTAGCTTTCCCACAAGCTTTTGATACATACCAATATCAACCAAGGGTCTCTCCGTCTGGAGTCATACCTTATAATCTGATGTGTCAACTAGTTTACACCCTAGCATTCCAATCTCTTTAAGGAGATGTATGATGTTCTTTCTCCAAGATATACATGCGCCTTTGTTGTATCACACAACCCACATCCCTAGAAAACACCTCAGTTGGCCAATGCTTTTAATTTGTAATTCTTTCACAAGAGTTCTCATCAGCTTATCAATCTCAACACACTAGTCTCATGCAACAACAACATCATCTACACATGGAAAACTAAACAACAACAACAACAAGCCTTTATCCCACTAGGTGGGGTCGGCTACATGGATTGCAAGACGCCATTGTGCTCTATCATTTATCAAGCTTTTAGGAATATTATTAATTAACAGATCGCGTTCAATAATTCCAAAAGTGTTCTCTTAGGCCTTCCTCTACCTCTCTTAATCGGACTCAAAGTTATATGTTCCACTCTTCTCACTGGTGCCTCCCTTGGTCTTCTTTGTACATGCCCAAACCATCTCAACCGATTTTCTACCATTTTTTCCTCAATAGGTGCCACCCTCACTTTTTCGCGTACGTGCTCATTTCGAATTTTATCTTTACGTGTATGTCCGCACATCCATCGTAACATTCTCATCTCTGCTACTCCAACTTTATGCTCTTGCTGTCCCGTTAGAACCCAGCATTCACTACTATATAACATTACCGGTCTGATAGCAGCGCGATAAAACTTTCCTTTAAGTTTGTAAGGCACCTTACGGTCGCAAATAACTCCTTTAGCTTTTCTCCAATTAAACCACCCAGCTTGAATTCTATGTGAAATATCTCCACTGATTTCGCCATCATTTTGAATAATGGCTCCCAAATATCTAAACTTTTCCACTTGAGATATAATTTGATCTCCCAATTTCACTTCCAAATTATTGTCGAATAGTCCTTTACCAAATTTAAAATATAAATATTCTGTCTTACTTCTACTCAGACGAAAACCTTTCAACTCCAATGTCTCCTCCATAACTCAAGTTTACAATTAAACTCTTCTCTTGTTTCTGCTATAAGAACTATATCATCCGCGAAGAGCATACATTTCGGAATTTCCCCTTGAATATGTTCCGTCAAAACATTTAAGATCAAGTGGAACAAATAAGGACTCAGAGATGATTCCTGATGTAGTCCAATCTTTATAGGAAAATCCTTTGTTTGATCACTAGGCGTTCTTATACTAGTTTTTACCCCCTCATACATATCTTGTATGGCTTTAATATAAGCAATCTGTACTCCCTTTTTTTCTAATGCTTTCCAAAGCACTTCTCTTGGTATACGGTCATAAGCTTTTTCCAATGGAAAACTAAAATGGCTGGTTTTCCATTTGAACTACATTTGACTAATATAGTATGGTCATCTTGACAGCATTAGTAAACTTCTTAAACCACACCAAAGGGTACTGTTTGAGTGCATATGGAAACTCGTTTGCATACGTTATTGCCACAAACTTAAACCTCCAAACCTAGTGATTCCCGTTAAACCATTTAGACAGGTGTACTTGACATCTAGTTAAAGTGATAGCCACTCCAGGTCAACTAAGAGAGTAGAACTTTGATGGTGTAACTATAAAAGCAAATGTTTCTTCATGGTCTATGCCATGGGTTTGTGTGAAACCCTTAGCCACCAACCATGCTTTATGACAAGTGATACTTCCACCAAGAATATGTTTTATGATGAAAACCCATTTAAACCTTATTGGAGTCTTTCTAGATGGAAGATCAGCAATTTCTCAAGTTTAAATTCTTTTGAAAGACCCTCAACTTTTCTTGAATTGCCTCACTACATTCCTGCTTCTTTGAAGCTTCATAAACATTTGTTTGACGTTCCTCCTCAGAAAGATTTGCACAAATGTCTACAACTTAGGAGAAAGCTTAAGCAACAAATTTATTGATTGGGTGGTCAGAACACTGCCTCACCCATTTCAGCAAGGCAATAGGCACATCCAAGTTTTCACTTGCCTTATTTCCTTCAAAATTTCAAGGACAAGTTGATTGGTTCTTCTTGGAGTGTGTTTTTTCACTATATATTTGTCAATTCAGTGGTTGTTCTGCATCATCAGGTTCCTTTTCAGACACTTCTTCCCTTTTTAGTCACTGCTTTTCTTCTTCTGCTCTAAGTAGCTTCTGCTGCTGTTTGGCACTTGAACAAAGCTCAGCTCCAGGAGTAGGCTCAGGTTGTGCGCAATTTGTGAGTAAATCATGGATTATGTTGTCATGCTGCACTTCAGGGCATGTTGTTTTGGGTATCTTAGATGTAGGTAGCAAAGGGAAGGGTTGCAGAGGGTTGAAAAGGTTCCAAGACAGCCATTCATTAAGATTTTTGGTATTAGATGTCTCCCTCTCAATGGATTTCTGGCTATAAAAGGGTGTATGTTTTAAAAATGTGACATCAAGGGTGGTATAAATCCATTTTGAGGATGGACAGAAACATTTACGACCTTTTTGTGTTGAGGAAAAACCAAGATACATGCAATGGATTGAGGTTAAAGTTTCCCCCTTAAATCTGTTATGGACAAAGGCTGTATAACCAAAATACCTTGATGTTGCGTTTAGATGTAGGGTATTTGATGAGCCAAATCCACCATTTAGATCCCAAAAAAAAAAAATAATTATGGTATTTTATCATAATTCCATGTAATTTCAAACCTCACCTACTCCCTAGTTATTTGAAATGCCAGCTACTCTTTGGTTTAAAAAAAAAATTGCTAGCTACTCTAACCCTCTTATTTCTTTCCATTTTCTATTTCCCATCTCCTTTTTTCATACTATCCAAAAAATTTTAAATACATGAATGTTAAATGGGATTTTAGATCTAAAATTCTTGTCCAAACGCTACCTGAAGGGAGTTCACATACTTAGTTGACGGAAAGGCTTCCTTCAGTTTTTGCTATGGAATAACAAAACCCTTGAGGGCATTGTATTGGTTAGATACGTTGTCTTCAACACAGCTTGTCCCCAACAGTCGTTTGAAGCAATTGAAGCAAGAAATAGGGACCTAGCCACCTCTAAGAGGTGTCAATTCAATTTTTCTGTTACATCTTATGTTGTTGTGGGGATATTGAAACAGGTGCTCTGATATATAGTTCCATAATTTTATCATTTGGGTTAACCAATTCTCTTCCACTGTCACTTCGAAAAATCTGAATATTACCTCCAAACTGATTCCAAATTAATTTGTGGAAACTATCAAATGATACTTGTAACTTCATATTTATCCTTGGTAACAAAGCAGTAGCACAATTCTCATTACCAAACATCTTCCTTGTCTCCAACATCCTAAAAAGAACAGAACACTGATAAGCAGCAGGGTTAGCTTAACATTTGAGATTTGTTGGTAAGCTTAAAAATTGCACTCTAATGATGGTAGAGGAAAAACATGTTCCACAATCATAAATTCAGATGTTCAAAGCCACTCCTTTACCCTTAACTTCAGCATTAGAGCCATCAGAAACAGTGATATACAACTTTTAAAAATTAGGAACAAAATTACCAAGTGTAGGTTCAGTAGCACTCATTATTTTTATTGCGATCAATACCAAATGGAAAAACCACCTAACACAGGTGGTAGCCAAGCGATGGGATGAACTTATCTGCACTCATGCACACACACTTCTCACCGATGTGGGGACAAAAAAACACCACCCTTAATGACGGTGAAGCCCAACCACACCGCAGGCACTCACACAAAATTGATGACCTCAGAATTGGATGTCTTGCATTTCCCATCAAGTGTACTATGATAACAAGTTTAGTGGCCTCCCCTATAAAGTACTCCTTGTCACCGCTGATGAAAAACATCAAAGCCCATTGATCCTCAAATTTGTGAAGGATATAGGTGATCAAAGGACTGATCATGGCATCATAAGAAGCACCTAATGTTTGGTCTGATTATTCCTCATTTATTGTTCTAGATTCTGAATTTAATCACAGCCGGAACATAGTTAACATGGCTCAAATACCTTGTGGAATAAAGGGGATTCACATTTTATTCCATCATCTACTATTGATAAGAAAATGCTTAGTAAATTCTAGAAGACCGGTTTATCATAACAAAATGCTCAAATCCCTCAAATAAAATCTAGGTAAATCCAAACTCCCATGTTTTTATAGATATTCCTAAGACAAAGGAGGATAATAATTACAGAATAATAACACAACATAAACAGAAAAACAGTAAATAATAACTAAATTATTCATTACTTTCAACACACTTTTTATTTTATTTTTTTGGTAAAATAATTTCAACATATT